AGGGTTATTTTTTGGCGGCCGTGTCCTTCAGGGGCGGTGCCCGGTGCCGTTTTGTGGCTTTTCCGCGCCGTGCGCAGACGTCTCGCACGCTGGGGCCGCCCGAACCGTTTCGAGGGTTTTTAATCTGAGGCGCGCCCCGTTCGGAGTGGACCCCTGCAGGGCCATCCTCGCGCCCCGACCTCCCAGGGGGCTGGTCTTTTTTTTTCCTTGCGACGCCGCGGGGAGGAGGCGGGGCGCGTTAAAGCCGTCCGCTCCCTTCCCCGTGTGTGTGCGTTTCCTTTTTTCGAGTTCCTAGGGGGAGAAGGGAAGGCGAGCTGGCGGCGACACTTTCCATGGGGCGGGGTGCGTGTGCTCTGAAAAGGGTTTATCTCAAACAAAAAAAGAGGTAAGAAATAAGAGAGAGGAGGGGGAGTGGGGAAAAAAAAAGGAATGCCGCGACCCGGGATCGAACCAGGGACCTTCAGATCTTCAGTCTGACGCTCTCCCAACTGAGCTATCGCGGCGATGAGCATCACGTGAGGTCATTGTTCCAGTAATGACAACATGTCGTGTTAGGGAGGCTATATAACCGTTCCGAAAAAGGTTCCGATACCGGGAATCGAACCCGGATCTCCTGGGTGAAAGCCAGGTGTTCTAACCGTTATACCATATCGGAGATGCATCCATGTTTTTGAAGGAGATATATATATGTTTTTTAAAGATTTTCTGAAGGTCCCTTGACAGGGCCAACCCCCACAAAAGAGTGTGGGACAAAGTTGGAGAAAAAGGAGAGGGAAGACCGGGAATCGAACCCGGGTATTCAGAGCCACAATCTGATGTTCTGCCACTGAACTATCTTCCCGACGGACCGTGGGAAACATGGTCTTTAAATGTGGGTTTGTGTTTGTAATGTTTATGGTAATCTAATATATATGTTTTTTTTTTTGGATCTGTGAGTGTGGTCTTGGGCGCGGGAGTTCTCCGGGGGTTAAGGCATTCGCCGGGTACGAGAGGGAGCGTTGTTTGGAATTGCGCGCACCACGGGAGTGTTTTACTTCATTCGACGTTCTTTTTTTTTGTAGGAGTAGGGAGACGGGTTGGTGCTTTTTTTTGATTTGTTGTGTTTGGGGAGGCGTCGATGAGTTTTTTTGTTTTTTGTGGTACGCACACGGGCGGGCGAAAGGTGCGCAAGCACGAAGGTGCCGAGGCTGTCTCACTTTGGGGATTCTTATTTTCAGGCGCGAACGAGGGATAGCGAAGGGTGGAAGGCTTTATTATTATTATTATTTTACACTGTTGTGGTATGTAAATGGGGATTTTTGTGCAACGGCCGTGTTGTGGGTTAGGGTGTCGCGACACGCCGTCGTCTGCCCGAAGAAGCGTTTTTTTTTTATGTTAGAAACTTGGGTGGGGCGTCTCTCTTTTTGTTTTTAGATTGAGCGTGCGTGCAACAAGCGGAGTGTGGCGGTGGACGTTAATGGTACAGTTTTTTTTTCTTTTGGTTGAATGCCTCTTCGTATGCTTTTTTTTTCTTGTGTTTCCATTCTTCTTATTCTTCATCCTATTTAATATTTTTCTTCATCATAAAGGTATTGGCTTATTTTTTAAAAAAATTGTGTATTATACACAGTTCAATGGCACTACCTGAAGCAGACAATATTCTTTTAAATTCTTCACCTGACGTGCTTAGTAGGGCGATTTCAAGCGTGTTTCGTCGTCTTGTAGCAAATCTATTATTGGATTTCGAAAATCAAAAATATCATGTCGTCCGAGCAGAAAACAAGCTCATTCGTGATGCATTAAAACCACTGTCAAGCGCGGTAGTAGAAGCTTTATTTACAGGCATAGGGTTTGACCAAAGTAAAAATGCAAATTCTGAAGTAATTTATATATTGACGGGAGATGAGGAGAAGATTCAGGCGGCCGATCGTTTTTTATCTCGCTTGGAGGAGGGTATAGAAAGTATAAAAAGAAAGGAACTCGAATTACAACTCCTTTCTCCACGAGCTAGAAAACATCGAGAAGAGGAGGAAAGGCGGCAACAAATTCTTCAAGAAATCCGACGTAATGCGATAGAACGTAAGGGTGAGGCAGCTCGTAGCGGCCTCGCAACCTCGATGACAGTGATGCATCCCGAAGACTTTTCATCAGTAGAGAACTTGATAGAACCAGCGAGGCGAACACTTTTAAGGACCGGAAGAGTGCGAAACTGTCTTTTTGAAGGACGACATTTTACCTTACGTTGTATGATCCATGGAAGGGCATACGCCTGCAAAGAGGGATGTGAAGCAGATGCACTGGAGGCGCATTGGCATCTTTTTACAGGGAAAAATTTAATGTACGCTTACGTTGCCCATCTTTCACAGGATGCTTCCACTTTGATACATCTTGGAGTTGAGCATGGTTATCAATATAACTCTTTACCTGGCACAAAAAACTTCCGTCAAACGGTTCATTTTAGTGCAAAACGAACAAATGAGCTAACTGGGGCATTGGAATATATTGATCACCCTGATCGACCTTCTAAAGTATGTATTTACTGCGGTGTACCATTCTCAGAGTTATTTCTATGAGGAAGTATTACCTGAATGCTTTAATTCTTGTCAACGTATCCTCTTTTTCTCCCTGTGTGTGTGTGTGTGTGACTTGTTCGTGGTTTTTTCTACGTTTTTAATCACTGAGGAGATATGGGTACCAACAGTTGTTTTATATTGATTGAGAAATATTATTCCTTTTTCTTACCCTCTACACCTTTTTAGTCGAAATTTTTTCCTTTTACTGAGGTGGCAGAAACCATTTCCGCCTTTTTTCTTCTTAAAGAGGACACTTTTTCTTAAAACAAAAACGAGTATCTTTTGAGTTTTTTGTTTTGTCCTTTTTTAAAGAAAAACACACACACACAACAATTAACAAGTGAATGCTACTATTGATGCTTCCAAACAGGAATATCTTGAATGAATATTGCCAAGTATATTATTTCTTGGGTTAGTACATATATAGGTGGGATCATAAAGCGCTGGAACAAATATTCCATCTCTGTAAGTATTTTAAGAGGTTGTATTGAGCTAAGGAATATAGAACTGAATGACGACACCACAACATTTTTTAGAGCATTATTTTCTTTAGAAAGGGCCACTATAGGACATGTACGGCTAACTGTTCCCTGGACAGCGCTATATTCACGCTCATGTGAACTATGTTTTGAGGATGTTGTGCTTCTTTTTAAAGACTATTCTCAAGAGGAAGTTGTTGATAATAAAGGTAACCTGCTTGATGGGAAGCAAAACATAGTTGATTTTCTGGATTCTCTTCAATATAATTGCCAAATGAATACAGAAAAGAGGCGTCATAAATTTTTGGATAGACTTAAACGGATTATATTGCAGAATCTTACAATAGTTTTGAAAAACTGTGTAGTGAGGTACGAGCAAATGGGACCTCCTTCTCTCAGTGCTACAATACACTTACAGTATCTTTCATGTATCACGACCAATGCGATGAGAGAGGTCTGTTTTGTCAAGGATGATACATGTACATTTTATCGGATTGTTTTGCTTCAAGGGCTTTCCTTTATTCTAACTTCCTTGGATTACACAGATTTTTCTGGTCGATCATGGCGCATGATTCCATTGGAGTCCATTCCATTTCTTTTACGAGACGTAATAGAAAAGGAGGTGAAAAGTTTTGGCTACCTTCTAAATCCCTTCTCAGCTGAGGCATTTGGCGTTTTACAGTTTCAGTCTTCCAATTTACATATTGAGGCACATATTTTAGTTTCTTGTAACAAAATAAATTTGAACTTTTCAAAACTAAAAGCACTATTGGTGATGGCTTCATGTATTGCTTCCTTACAGTTATATAGCAAGAATGAAAATAAATTGAGACCAATACAAAGACCATCTCGTAACACACCTGGGAGTTGTGTCGCTTGGTGGAGTTATACTACTCGTAGAATTTTATCAAATATACAAGGTTGTGTGAAAGAGACGTTGTTTCATTGGACTACATACCAGGACTGGAAGTGTCATGCGGAAGAGTATTACAAACACTATCTTTTAACCCTGGGAGCCCCTTGGATTTTTGGAGTCCAGCTAAATACAAAAATATACCAGGAGGCATTAGGTGCGTTTCCTATCGAATATCTCATTCAGGTTCGACAAGAAGCGAAGTTTGTGTTGGAACAGTATCATTTGACTGGTCGAGTTTTTCCTCGACACTATGGCGATAAAGTGTGTGATAGGGGAGATGGATACAAGGTATCAGTTGTGGAGGTGCTTAAAGGGCAAACCAGTGTTGCTCCACTACGTTTGAAAACTTCCATTTCTCTTGTGGTACCTAAATTGATCCTTTCTCTAAAGGGAAACGAGATGCTCTTCAATCTCAATTTGACTGAGATTTGTATTCGATTATCTTTATTGGATGTTGGTTTTCATATTGTTTTCTCTGCATACTCAATTCGAGCTTCGTCAGAAATTGCAGATTCTAATGTTATGGATATTCTCTATATTCTTGATGAATCCGAAACTAGGGAGGAACTTATGATATCGTATTTACGAAATGGAGAGAATAAAGAGCTTTCAGTGTTGCTGAATTCTCTTGGAATTCGATATGATCAGTGGATTGCTGAAAAGCTAATTACTGAGCTTCACATACTTGAGCAGGCAAATTTATTTGTTTCGTACACGTTTGCAGTTACCTCAGAGAATAGTCTGAGTCATCCACTGAAGACTCAAATAAAAATTCGAAATGTGATTTTGGGCATAGGAAACTTTGAGGTGTCTGTAGAAGACCTAATTTTTGAGGTTTCGTGGAGGTGCGCGCGTCTATGCATCAATGAGGCTTCTCATTCACCATTTATCATTCTAACAAATCTTATTTCTTCCCTTTCAACGATGTCGACCATTTTTATTGAGGAGTCTCACATTTATGGGGTTATTTCTAGCTTTTATGCATTGAGAAATGAGGTACAAGGTGTGATGCTTATCTACGACCATATTATGCACTGGGTACAAGAAAAGGATACCTTAGACGCCGCAAAAGTAATAAACGGATTTGAATTTTTTTTGCCGTTCTTTATTCTTGAATTACCTGGAGCGTGTGCCCCTTTTAAAATAAGACATTTTAAGATTTGTATGACGCTAGCTACACCCTGGAGACTGAGGGCTAGTTGTACGACGATGACATGTGATGGAGTATTAAGTGATACGACGATGCATTTAACTATCTTTGGAGGAACTGCCAATAATGAAAATTCTTTGAACGACGTTTTAAAAAATTCAAATAGTGATATATTAGTAATTGCGTTATTTGAAGAGGGACATGTTGTTCTTGAGGCTGGGATTGCAGCTTTACTTGAATTTTTGAACGATCTCTTTTTTGTCGTGGTGTTTCCTGCTGAGAGAAATGCACCTATCTTTCGAAATGAAAGCTTGATGAGCCCCTCGCTTGAGGTTCACATTTCATGTAGTAACATTTCCTTTGATATTCTTGGGGAATCTTCTGGTCCTTGGACGTCTCCATTTCGTTTGTACTGTAACGGCCCTGAGAGTCTTTTGGTGGAGTTAAAACGATTTCCAGATACGCGTATGAGCACCACTCTTTCCTTCGCTCGTTGTTGTTCCTGCAGTGTGGATAACCTTTCATTGATTTTTCCTTCGTTTTCTGACGCTGGAGTCTTACGGGTGGTTATGATTTGGCAACCACCTATCGCTTTGGCAGGCGAAGAGCACTATACCACACTTACGACATCTATAACGGTTGTGGAACGTTTTTTTACAGCTTATTTCCCTGCAATCAATGCATTTCTGCGTCAATTTAGTCAACAGGGGTCAACATTATATCGGTTGAGAAGTTTGGGGTCTAGATTGCATTTTGGTTTACGGACATCGCATGAGCAAGTGTATGCTGTTCCATTTTGGTCCCATCGAACCATTTTTAAGATGGAAGCGAAGGATACATTGATGCTGTATTGTCCCTGGTACAAGAAGGAGTTGGATGATCTTTCTAGCATGACTGAGGTTCATATAAGAATAAGTATTCCCTCCTGCAAAGTGGCATGGTCTTTTGATGGGTCTAAAGGGCATATGTTAACTGAAGCATTCTTGATAACAAGATTGCCAAGAGTTATGAAATCATCCTACAGTTTTGCTTCAACTGTGCGCCCTGGCAGTAATACTCTAGCGATAGAGATACACCATAATGTGGCGTACGATGCAGAGATGCAGAGGGAAGCGTTTACGCTGGTGATAAAAGGGCAAGACGTGAGCGAAGTGCCTCAGGTTTCCGAAGCCGTAAATACCACAAAATATACACCCTGCGTCAACAGTATGAAACCGTTTGTAATTTCTATTGAAGAGGCATATCACTTTAGTGCTATTGTGAGTGCTGTGTTTGTGGCGTCTTTACCACAGCAAGTTTCTGTAGAGACATACCCCAAGCGAGAGCGATCGTTAAAACTAAATATTGCACCATTTGTGGCGTATTCTCCCCATGCCTTCGATGTGGCATGCGTCTCATGGGAGGGTATAGATGTCACGATGGAAAAAGATGGGACTTTTGAAGGAAACATAGGGGCGATGTCACTCTTGTACGATGCGTCGTTGCGAGAAACTAAGCATCAAGACATGGCAACCTTGTGGGACTACCTCCATACCGTGCAGAATACTTTTGCTGTTGTGGAAATTATGGGAAATTGTGATACAGAAGGGAATTTTATAACTCTTAAAAAGACATTTGAGGCGGATACTGCCATGTTATGCATTGGTGGTGTTTTCGTGCATCTTACCGAGAAGAGACTACCGTTACTCTTGCATCAATTTCTGGACCTCCACAGATTTCTCTCTACCGATCTTCCACCTTTGCCTGCATTGCCGCAAGAAACTGTTATTGCTGCCCCCGATAAGGCTCATGCATCCCTACTAATTCATCTTGCCAAGATGCACCTTGGTTTTACGTGGAACAGTCTAATGAGCGGCGTCTATGAGGAGTTACATTTGGCTCTTCGTGCGTTTACGTGGAGAACTGACGGAGCATTAACTATGGAGAATGGTGGGGTTCAGTTGAAGTGGTTCAATACAGCTCCACCTGTTGAGTCCATGGGTCCCTGTGATCTATTGCTTCGGGAGGCTAGCGAAACTGTCCCGTTGATTGAAGACGTTTCGATGTCGACACAGGCATCAAATGTAGGGAGTCTTTGTGTGACAGTTTCACCCATCCACATGAATTTAGCTTTTGATACCTACTTGAGTCTTGCTGAGCTCGTAGGTTATCATCTGCGGCTTGAACTGGTAAACCCTGTGAAAGGGGCATCTGAGGAGCTTCCCTTTGTAGATGCTGCGGGTGAAGGTGTCTTGACTTTGGACAGCTCACTCTCATTCACATCCCCTTTGCCTTCATCTGGGGCTGTGGACGTCTTCCCATCTTTCATTGGTACAGAGTCTGTTTTGCAGAGCCCTGCCATGTCGCCTACCTGGCAATTCACTTTGGAGTTGACGGAGGTGACACTTACGGTTGCCAAGGAACGGCGTCTGCACGGCGCTGGTAACGTAAACTCTAAGCCTTTGTGTTCGTTGTACCTAACAAATGTTGTCTTTGGCCTTGTTCCTAACTTTGTCTCGTTTGTGTTACGTGAGGTGAACCTTTCTTGTGTCCGTGAGACGAGTGCTGTGACCATTTCTGGGGTGCAGTTTAGCTCATCGCGCGCCGCTGTCTCAGGGCATTCTCTGCCTGAGATGGTGTGTGTTGTGGAGTCGGTTGTCACCAGGATTTTCACTCCCGATCTGTTGACGTGTTTTGATTGCCTCGTCAGGACTCCTGTAGAGGAGCTTGCAGAGCTTTACTGGGGAACGATGCACCCAAGTGGGAGTGATAGTCTCCGCCACGCTCAAACCGACAGCCGTGCTGGTGCTGGTGATGGTAGCAGCAGTGGTGGTGGTAGCGGAAAGGGCATATACCGTAAACTGGAGGTTGTCACGGTGGATACGCCTGTGTGGAAACTGAAAAGTGATCTGGTGCTAGGCCGCAACGGTGGAACGGTGCTACAGTTCTCCAGCATGAATACCAACAATATCCACGTGGAGATGCAAGGCCGCTCCATTACCATAGCGCCACCATGGAACACGGAGGCTGAGATTGTGATGGTAGTGGACGCGGGGATTTCCTTAACGTTTTCCAACGGCCGCTTTGTTCTACCTTCGGTTCTCTTGGAGCAGTTTCAACTACGGCGCCTGAAAGGTTTGGGTGAGGAGGCCCTGCTACTGCCGTTTCTGGCGCTAGGTGAGTGCAGCTATATTAGATGCATTAACGTTCGCTATGCCACAACTGAGAGGTATGAGTTGCACTGTCATAAACCGCCGCCTTTACAAAGGGATGGAGCGACTGGAACTGTGCAGTCTCACTGCTGGAAATTGCGTGCGGGGATTCGATCCTTCGTGCTGCATCTGTGTTCCCAGCGTGAAAAAGGTAGCGTGAGGGCGACAGTCGTTATAGAAGCGAGGATGCTTCTGCGTGGTGGAGCTATTGAGCGAGGTGAGGTTGATTTTGAGAATCTCAGTGTTGTCACACGATCTACAGCTTCGACCACCGACGCCGCCACCACCACCACCACCATCAACAACAATAGTATGAGGGGTTGCGCGACGGATAACGTTTTGATTGCACCTGTTTCTGTTCACCTTTGCATCTCGGAAGGGCGTCAGTTTGCGTTTGGTGTGGGGCGTATTGTTGTGGATGCGATGGTGAGCGAGGTACTGCTGCTGAGTACGATGGTGCGTGAGTTTACTTTTTTTGCACGGCATGCCGCCTCATTTTGGCATTCGCCAATGGAGCAGGCGTACAAGTTGCAGGTTGAGCGTGTCCTGGGTTGGAAGTTGATGCGAGCCCGGGGAGGCAGCCACGCGAAGGGAGGTGATGCTTGCCACAGGGACGAGTCTCAGAGTGATGAGTCCCCCCACACGGTGCCTGCGTTTTCTCTGGCCGTGTTCCTGCCCTTTCTGGAGGTCACACTGAGCAATGTCAAGTATCCACTAGTGCAGCTGGCACTGTCGGATATCGTGTGGAAGGAGAACATGTTTCTCACGAATCGAAAAACATTGCTGCAGAGCCAGCAGCTATTTCTGCAGGCTTACGGTAAAGGTCGCTGGGACACGGTTATCCCACCAAGGTCTGTGATATCGCTTGAGGCGGTTCGCTCTTGGTCAAGGCGAACGCGCACGGAGCAGATCGAGCTCCAATGTGAGGGGTTCGTGTTGCACCTCTCACACCTGTTGCTGTCCAAAATGCTGCACGTTCATCATGAGTGCTCGGAGCTGTATGCTAGAATGCTTGAACACGCGCATCATGTTGGGGAACCGTCATCGCCGCTAAGCTCTGCTAGCGTGTCAAATCACGATGTCACCGCCACACATCGCTTTATAAATGTTTTTGATGATGTTTTTTACCTCTTTGTAGGAAAAGATTTGGAACATGGGGAAATTGTGCCACTGCCCTCTTGCACTGCAGTATACCTCACCTTGCCGTTTAATAGTGCCGACACTGTCCGACTCTACCTCTACCCGCGGCATTGCATTGAACTGAACGAGCACGGCTGCCACATCCGGAACAGTGAGGGGTTGCGTAGGGACATGCAATACTGTCACGTTGTGGCAAGCCAGTTGCAGTACGGCCGTGCCTTTGGTCTTGTGATAGATGATTTGCTTGTGGTGATGTCGTGCATAGAGACAGACGGGGTGCAGACGGGTATGACACCGTTGACGTCCGCGTACGCCAGATACTGCCTTTGCAGTGACACTAATGCGGCACCTCTGACCATGACGGATGCAGCAGCACCAGGGTCCCGGTTCACAAACGCGTCAATGGCCTCTGTTAGGGAGGCAGATGAGGTAGGCCTGGTGGTTGTCCGTCTTCATTCCCAGCGAACCCTTTGCAATGGCATTGGGATGGTGATTGAGGTGCGGCAGTACCTTCTGGGTGACTCCGGGGAAACAGCGGCGAGTGAGGACTTCTGGATTGTGCCTCCAAACGCGGAGTACCCTCTTCTTGGTCTATGCAGCCGTGTGGAGCTTCGCCTCTCGTTGGATGGTTATGTGTATTGTACGTCTTTCAGTACGCTCTCTCTTGAAAGTGGCGTCGTTTTGACGCTGCAGCCAATTGGAGATGCGGCGTCGTCTGCAGCTTGCCACAGTTTTTTACCGGTTTGCCTCTTCATGGCGCTGCAGCGCTTTGCCGAGAGTGGGTCCGCTGTCATCCACCTTTTACCCCGCATGACGGTGATCAATCACATTGGGGTCCCTGTGAAGCTGTCGCTTTGGCAGGAAGAGGGGAACAAACCGGAGCGGGGGGCGGCAACGGCGGAGGAGCTGCTGCAGCATCGCGATGCCAGTGTGAGCAGTAACTTGGCCGCTGCTGCTGTTGATGGTCAAGGCTTTGTGGCGTCGTCGCGCTGGGGCGTTCGTTCCTCGCGGCGGCGTCTCATACGAATCGGAGGCCACAGAGCTCTTCCCCACCGAGGTGCTCTTCCCATCTGCCACTGCTCCTACAGCGGGGGTCTCTTGCTGCAACTGAGCTTTACACAAACAGGTGGAGAAACACTGCAAACGAAGGGGACCGTGGAGGTGTGCAGCTCGCTTAAACGGAGAGTGGGGCGTGAGCCATGCCTTGTGCGGATGCGTGACTCCAGTGGGCATTCCTTCTATGTGCAAGTGGCTGTGCTGCACCGAGCGCTCGTATTGTCGGTGGGGCACTGGGTGATCAACCTCACAGAGTACCCTGTCTTACTCACCGACAGTTTTGTCTCACGCCGCCTCACGGCAGGGCAGCTGATGCATACTGGGATTCCTCCCTCGCAGGGTGTGCCTTTCCTCATTGGCTCGCATCCAGCAGAATTTACGCTGGCCTTCTTAAAACTGGCCCTGGATGGGGAATGGTCCGGTGGGATTCATACGCGGGTTGGGTCCCACGGCGTCGCGGAGTCACCGCGCAGCGTGGGGGGTGGTCTCACGCGAAGCTGCAACTACGTTGTCCAGTTTCCTCGTGTGCAAGAAGGGCGACCGGTGGTGCTGCTGCTCACCCCACGATGGGTGTTTGTCAACAACACAAACCGACGTCTGAAGGTGCACTTTGCATTTCCCGTCACGAAAGGACGTTACTCCTCAAAGAGGTTGCATGCTGGTGAACACACGTCACCAACACCGCAAACAGCAGCGACAAAAGCAAAAGCAGAAGCAGAAGCAGCAGGAGAGACGACGGTGACTGAGACACAACCCCAGTCCTTTGTGACGCTGCGGCCCGGTGATCATCACTTTAGCTGCATTGGCACAACCACGGGAAACATGGTGTCGTTTCAGGACACGCTGGAGGATTCCGCGCCGTCCATTACCACCTTCTCGTACGACGATGTGCGCCATACAAACCTGGCCGAATTCTACGAGGTGCATCGCACGGCATCCATCTCCGTGGATAGTCCTTGTCATGCGGCCTTCAACTTGTGGGCCTCCCTGCGGCAACCGGAAGTGGTTCCAAGTGTTCTCTATGGGTCGAGAACGACGACTCCAGCGTCGTACCTGTCATCCCTCCAGTGCTCAGCGGATAGTTCCCACTTCGGTGAGGACGTGGCTTTTGTCACAGGCCGAATCAGCGTGACAGTGCAGCACATTGATAATGTATTGGCTGTTGTGATTAACAGTATTCATGCCACCAACATGGTGATTCAGAATCGTGCGCGCAACGAGACGCTTGCGGTGCGGCAAAAAGGAAGCCAGCGTCGCACCGTTATTCCTCCCTGTCAGAATCGTTTTTTTCTGTGGGAGGACTACCGCACCGATCCTGTTGTTTTGCTTCACGTCATTGGCCACAAAGGGGCGTGGTTTGAGGTGGACTTTTCCCGTGGTAACTGCCAGGTCCAGCGGCGACACACATCCGACGCCACCGCAGACGTGCTTTCCCCGTTTAGTCTTCGTGCCTGCACCAGCACAAGCAACGCGCAGCATGTATCAATTTTGTTCACTGATGAAAGTGTCCCTCCACACGCCTCCTTTGATGACGCGTGGCACACAAGTGTGGGTCACACGCTCTCGTTTCCCGCGCTAGAATTGCTGTGGCTCACCGAAGAGCGGCCTGGCGGAGAGAAGCCACATGCGTTGCTGGTGCTGCGAGAATTGCAGGTACAAACCCTCGCAGCAGGCAACACCCACACCATTTCCGTGATGCTTAAGCGAGTGCAGGTTGTGGATGTGCGCGAGCAGGCGGCTATTGTGCTGCACCGCGCCAGCCCAGCAAGTCCGAACGCGGCAGAGGCAGTTACAAGTGGGGGGATTTTAAGCTGGTTCTGGCGCGGTGAAGAGGTGCCTCAGCAGGACCTGCAGGCTGTGTATACCGCCATGATTTCAGCTAGTGGTGTGACGCGCGTCACGGAGTTGTCGCTTGTTATCGCCCCTCTTGCTGTGGACGTGTCAGACCATTTCGTTGTGTCGGTCTGGCACGAGTACCGTGGACTCCTTTCGCTCTTTGCGGACAGCGGGGGCGGCGGCACGGCAGCGCTGGCCTCGACGGCGTTGGCGTCAATGTGCATGTCACGCCGCGAACTCTCACAGGGGCTGGTGACACGGTTGCACAGGAGTGGGCGAAGTCTCAGCGGGCCCACGGCTGGTGTGACGTCCGCCTCCGCCTCTACTGCAATCACAACTGCAGCGCATTCCAATCAGCATGAGACGCACGACGGGCCGGCGCTGTTGTTCATTGATCAGGCACGGTTTTCCCGTCTCACGGTGTTTCTAACCTTCAGCCGCCACAAACCCGACCCGCTGTGGGGACTGGTGGGGATGTACACGCTGATGATCCCCAAACGGCTGCGGCAGAGGGAATTTTCATGGACGGCGCTTACTGTTAACAACAGTGCGACGACGTGGGGTTTGCTGCTCGCACAGGTGCAGCACTGGTTGATGGATGGGGCGTTGCACCAGTGGCCGAAGGTGACACAGCTTGGGACTATCGTCGACAAGTTCAAAGGACATCCCTACAAACGTGTGACGCTCGCCGACACACCCACACCGATGCTCTCGGGTGTCGACAAATTTAGCCACGATGATGACGATGATGATTAGGGGAACCGTGCCAAACGGAGAACGCGACAGTCCGCGGAGGCCTGGCTTTGCGTGCCGCCGCACCGTGAGATTTCTTCATCCTGTGCTTTGTAAATTTATGTTGTTGTTGTTGTTGTTTTTTTTTGCTTTCTTTGTGTTTGCGTTTTTTTTTTTTGTTTGTCCCTCATCTTGTGAGTGCTTGTATCCGCAGTTTTTCACCTTTTTCATCTTGAATCTTTGCTGCACGGCACGGCAGACGCCGTAAACATTACAGAAGGACACGTGTGTAGATACGCACCTACATCCACACACGCACATCCGCACACACACGTACACACCCTTGTGTGTATAATATATATATATATATATATACGGGAAGGAGGGGGGTGGGGTGCGGCGTTGGTAGGAAGATGGAGCCCCTGGCACGACACAACTCCCCGTCCATGGATGCTAACGGCTGCCGCAACGCACACGGCAGCAGTAGACCGAATATCGCAGGAAACGAGGAAGTGCCGGTGCGGACCAGACGTGGTGGCCGTCGGGCGCAGCGGCGTGTCACGCAGCAGCTGACTGCGCCCACCACCACCACCACCACCACCACCGCAACCACAATGGGAACAACGTCAAAGTCGATGGGGACAGTTGTGGTGCCGGTGCACGGGGAGGCGGCGACGCCGTCTGGAGACTCGCGTCCAGTGAAACGCACGGCTGTGCGGCGACGGGCCAAACCCACCAACATCACCGTGACAAGGGTGGTGACGGATGTCTCCCTAGAAGCCCTTCGGGCAAAGCGGAACGGTACGGCGGCGGATATTTCCCCCGGCGGCGACGCGCAGACAATTGAAGAGGTCAGTCGTATTCTTTTGATGTACGCATCACGACATCCGCATGGCAGCAAGGTGAACTTTAACGGGCGTCTGGGCTCCTTTCCAACTGACGCCAGTGCATACAATGCCCGCTTGGAGAGAAGCGATCGCGTGGACGAGGCGGAAGGAGGCACATTGGTAACAGCTGCAGATGCATTAGAGAAGAGCATTGGGACTCTTGTGCGGGAACAGTTGCCAAACGTCAGCGGAGAGTTTCCTGGCACCAGTGACGTTCACGCGTATGTGATGTCGCTGGTTCATTCCGGAAAGCTGGCACCCGAAAGCTTAGAGGTATTGCATGCCATGTTGTCTCACACCTCACGTGGGGGAAGGTTAGACTCATTTACCGCGCCAAGGCGAGGCAGGCATGGCAATCCCAAACTGGGGCTCCCGCCCACAATGAAAGATGCACTGCAGACGATGTCGCATGCGTTCGCTACAGATTTTGACTGCCACTCAGAACAACAACAACATGAATTGATAGAATCGACAGAAGAGTGTTTCTTTGGGTATGGTAGCTATGCATCATACAAGGATCCGTCATACATGCAAGGCATAAGCTGCGCTCAGGCCAACGGAATACCGCTTCATCACCCCGCAGGTCAACACAGTGTTACAACAGACTGTGAGTGCTCGGGCGAAAGACTCGTGCCGTATCGGTTTCCAAGCGAGTACGCTACGCAAGACGAACAGGCTTTGCAGCTGTATACTCACCCTGTGGCAGGAGATGGCGTAGCAGGGTACGAAGGCTATGCACACTTCCTAGGGCCGTCAGGGGGGTATGAGGTTAACAGTAGCAAGAGGGAAGGCACGAATAGAAAGAACTACGGGGCTGACGACGACGATGACGACGACGCGGATGTCACGGCAATGTTGCAAGATATTCGGGATTTGGCGCAACAGGCGTCGTCACCTCGACACTTGGGTGGCGTCAATTCCGCGAGTGCGACGGCTGCAGAAGCATGGAATGGGTGCTGTGACGAACACCCGGACGACGCCCGCCTCTCCCCCTCGCTACCTGCACCATGTGTCACGATCAGCCAAACAGAGCGTGATTCCTTGCGCTCCTTTCAGCAGGCGTTCATCGCTCGCATGCGGGTGACGGGATCACCAGAGTGGAGGTCCCCTGGTGCGACGTCGCCAACAAACCTGCTGTGTGCCTTGGCGGGTGACAGTGACACGAATAGGTTTGCGGCGGGGCAGCAGCTTCAGCAGGCACAGCAGCAACAACTGCCACTGTCGCTGCCGCAGCATCAGGAGCAGGATGGCGCCGGAGATGGAAGGTACGCGACTAATCGCACACTCTTTTCGTACCGCACCGCCTTTTAGAAAAAGCGGGGGAGGAGGATGACGGGGACGAGGATTTCGAAGACGCAATGTTCCCTGGCGATTTGGTTCCCCGCGAGGCTTCTGTGGCAACCACCGCCGCGGCGCGGCAAGAGGACCAACGGCAACGATCGCACCCGCAGCAGAATGGCAGTGAGGCAGCAGCGAGGGCAGCGCAGCTGTCGCTGCTCTTTTCCGCAATGCGTGGTGACGCACAGGAAAATGCGCAAACGAAGGCGGCGGCGGGTAACGTTTGGTCTTGGACCTCGAGCGACGGCAGCTGGGGGGGAGCGGGGGTAGAGGGGACGACGCTGAGGGAGGCAACCGCAATCGCGTCGACACCATGCAGACGATGGCTCTGCGGGGACGCGTCCGTGGAACGCCGCGCCCCCTCCACGACGCTCCAGCAGCCAACCACGCAAAGGAAACAGTTGAGACTGAACGACGACTGCTTACTGGATTGCCCTGCCGCATGCGTTCTCGCGTCGCCAGTGTTTCCCGCAGTGTCAGGGGTGACGTCCGGCATCGCCACCACCGGCAGCAGAACAGCAACAGCCGTGCAACCAGCAGAGCTGGTAAAGCGAAGCGCAACAGTACTCAACTTGAACGCTGTGCCATTCGTCCCGTCTCGCATGGGGTCGTGAGTGAGCGCCGCTCCTCTGCTTCCCTTTCAGGGAGTTGTAGTGAGGGCGTTGGCGATGGCTGGTGGTTGCTGGCGGCACGCAGACTTCCTTAAAGAGATGCCCGGAGCATCCAACGTGAACACGAGGAGGGAAGGCAGCGTCAAGAGACGAGCAAACCCACGAACACACACGCACACATAAACTTATTTACGTGGGAGGAGGACACAAAGAAGGGGAACGCCATCACTGACGGCCACGCGCTCGCTTTAGGAGTGGCGGGAAGGAGCGAGAGAGGAGGGCAGGGGGCGAGGGGTGGCTGTGGGCGGCGTCTCTCTTTTTTTTTTTTTTTTCTCACACTCGCACTGCGGGCTCGTTGTCCCGTGGGTCACGCATACAAATTAAAGCGAACGAAAAGACAACAACAAAAAAAAACGAACAAAAACTAAAAGAAAAAAAAAAGAGCCGTATATATTTATATATACACATGCATACATCATACAAATACCTAAATAGATGTGTAGAAGCGTCGCACGACTTGAAACAAAAACCAAAAGAAAAGAACAGAGTAATAATAGTAATAAAAGAAAAAAAACAAGTTATAATTTGGCAAAAGACAACCCCTTTTTTATCCGCTTCCCTTTTTTCTCTCTCCACATACACACACACACACACAGACGCAGACGGACGGACGGATGTGCACCAATCTTCCCGCTCATGTGGCGATTGGTGCTGAGAATAACTACTGCCAATAAAGAGGACGCCCGCGTGTTGAGCGATCCTCCGCCACCGACCGGGCGGGGAGTGTAACGGCCCTGCGGAAGGCAGATCATGTGTGTGTGTGTGTGTGGCGGCGAGGGAGGGAGAAAGCGAAGGAGGGGAGGGGTTAGCGGATAAAAGTAGGGGGTACGACGACGATGTGTCGTGTGCTGCAGATGCTCCTGTTATTGTTATTGTTATTGTTGTGGTTGTTTTTTTTTGTTTGTTTGTTTGTTAGATTTGTTTTTGCTTCGTGTGGGTCGTCTCTGCCGTCTGCACCGGTGTTATTTTCCCTTCTTCCGCCGCGTTGGCGACAAAACAAAAAAAACATGAAACGGAGGAAGAGAGGAGGAGCTGGAGGGAGGGAAAAGAGACAGCAACAACAACACAGACGGAAACAAGCGGGAGGAAATGAAAGGGGCAAAATTCAGGCACCCGCTGCCAGCGCCCTGTGAAGTCGGATTCAGAAACAAACATATACATGTGTGCCATGCGCGCACTCACTCACGCACTTAGATCCTCCTCCCTGACTGTCTGTCTCTCTCTTTTTCCTTCTCAATTCTCCTTTCAGAGGAAGAAGAAGAAACGAAAATAATTTTTTTAAAAAATTTCTGGGCCCCGCCTCCTCATTCTTTTTTTATGGTGTTGCCGTTTCACAGCGGATGCAGAGTCCGTGCCGTGGACTCAACGTCTCCATGCGAGGGTGCGTCTCTTTGTGTTGTCTCTCTCTCTCTCTCTCCCTGCGTACCAAGCGCACCTTGACAATTCATTCTTCTCTCTTTGTCTTTTTATTTTTCTGCTGCTTTTTTTTTTTTGGCCCGATGCTTTCTCGCCCTCCACACGCTGGCGCATCATGTTTGCACGCAAGTAGCTGTGGAGACTCGTTGCTGAGAGGTGTGCTCCTCCCGCTCTCTCGCTGAGTGTGTGTGTGTGTGTGTGTGTGGGTTGGGTGGTGGTGGTGGTGGCGGCCGCAGTGAAGGGAACAGAACGGCGTGTACTTCACAAGGCCGTTTGTGTTGTGAATTATTACTATTATTATTTTGGCTTTAAGGGAGGCTTCTTTACCTCACACCCTTAGCGACGTTTCATAGTCAGCGAAGTAACTTACTCACTCCCCTCACAAAACGGGCTGGTAAACAAACTAAAAGAAAAACAAACAAACAAGCACAGTGACTGCTGTAGGGAGCTGTCAAGGAGGGTCGTTGTAAATACATAGGGCAGAAGAAGGACTTGTGGCGTGCCACGCGGCGGGACTGAGGCTGTCAAGAGATGAAGCGTCAAACGTACACGAGGGAGGAGCTCCTTGCACTGCGCGGGACACTGGCGCTGGGCTCGTTTCTAGACCCCGTGCCACTGGACTGTCCTATGCGCACCGACAGCGACCTGACGCTGCTCCAAACAACCGTGCGGAAACGCAAGAAGGAGCATCAGCAGCGGATGCCAGTGCTGCAAAGGTCGGCTGCTGATAGCGGGGCTGTCGGGGAAACAGATGACCTGACGCGAGTTAACAACCTCCGATCGGGATTAAAAGAGTTATCAATTGCGCTGGGCAATCCAAATAGGGCCGGGGAATACGCTGATACCGAGGAACGTCGGCACACGGTTCTCATGCCGCCGCGTCTGCAGACACCCTTCGTGGTCATCGATGCCAAGCGCAGACATCGAAACGTTGCTAGTGTAGATTACGAGAAGAAGACTGAGGTGAATGTTGATGCGGAGCGGATGCTGGTGGCTCGGCTGCGTTTACGACAGCGAGCGCAGCAGGCGGAACGACCACCGAGCACTTTAGTTGAGGAGCCGCCACAGTGCGAGGAGAGATCTGCCGGTAGCGTGGTATTCGCCACGTCACCACCCACTGAAATGGTCGCTGCCTCGCGCGCCACTTGGATTACAGCCGCTGAGCCGGTTCAGCTGAAAATGAGTGCACTGCAGCACCTGGAGGCGGGCACCGCCGTGCCCGTTTTGAACTTCTCGCTTTTTAATTCCGCCTTCGGGAGTCGCTACTTACACTTCACACGCTCCTTGGGCCTGTGGCATTACCTCTCTGGGGCACTGGGGACGCGCTACCCGCATTTCCTTGGTCACGATGCGGGTGCGAGGCCGCGGGCCGGCGACACAAGCAACAGCACCAGCAGCTGCAGCCCCAATGGAAAAGAGAGTTCGATCGGACTAGACGACTCCGAAACGATGCCTGTTGGCGGGGAGAAGAGTGACAGTGATATTGCGGCGGCGTTGAAGAAAAAGCGACCTCATCGGAGACGCACGAATCGGACGCATGCGGAAAAACGAGAACACCGTCAGCTTCAGCAGATTCGTGCAGGGCGGACAGACAATGGTGGGTGTGGTGTATGATACGAAGAAGAACTGGACGTGGCACTTTTGGAGAGAGTAACGCCACTGTGCTCTGTCGATGACTCGCCTTCCCTTTGCTTTCCTTCACGCTCAACCTTTTACTCCCTTCTTCTTTTCAGTAGAAACTGTCTGCTGTCTTCATCTGCGGCTTATGCCTTATACGATGATTGGCCCACAATCATAGACAGAAAAACCGGCGGGGGGTGGGATGAATGAATACACGGCAGGGAAATCACGCTCCCCTTCCCGACCCATATCGCCGTTCCCCCTCGTTTGCACAGTTGAAGCGGTGGCAGAGCTTCACAGGGCCCTACCAGCCACATGCACTTCACTGGAAGGCATTCCCGCAAATGTCAAGCTCATTACTGCAGCGACATACGCACGCCGCAGATTTGCTGTCAACAGCACAGCTACCTTCGATGCAGCTTTTTAACTTTTCATTCTCACTTCCTTGTTTTATTGGTCTTTCTCTGCTGTGCCGCGCAACTGCTCTGCAGGTATATACGCTAATACGCTAACACGCTAACACACACCCAAACACACACACGTCATGTCACTCACGCTGTGGAGCGGCGTGAACCCTGAGAACGCGCGCACGCTCAAGATTCTTGTGGCGGCGGCCCTCGCCAACGTGCCCGTGACACTCAAGCCGTGCGAGTACGGCCGCGAGAACGAGACGGCGGAGTACTGCCGCAACTGCAGCCCGTGTGGCCGCTACCCCGCGCTGCAGACGGAGGAGGGCTACATCTTCGAGTCCAACGCCATCCTGCGGCACATCGCGCGCCTCGACCGGAGCGGCGGCTTCCTGTACGGCCGCACGCCGCTGGAGGGCAGCCAGGTGGACATGTGGCTCGACTTCGCGACGACGGAGCTGGACGCGGCCGTGACGCCGTT